TTTTATTTAAATATTTTAAATTTTAAAAAAAGTAAATTATAAGCAAATTTATAGCAATTTTCTAGGCAAATTTGCCTAGAATTGCTTACAGTTTAAGGGATAGATTGATATTAATACACGTTTTAATGTTATTTTATAGAAAAAATCTGGTGCAATCCCTTCCAGATCATTTATTAAGACTAGAAGGCCGTGTGATAATTATGTTAACTTTGATGGTATTTACTGTATTTTTTTTTTTTTTTTTTGTTATTGTCTCTAATAATGAATAGTTTACAATTTATTCATTTATAGATTACACAGAGCAAAATTTTACAAAAGCGACAGAGGTTACTTTGCGTGTTGAAATAAATAAGGATATTTCATTATATGATGAGCCTGGTTATATTTACATTTATAAAGGTTGTTTTTTAACTTTTTGACTTAGTGGCAAATTTCATAAACATATTACTAATTGATATAATAATAGTGGTGAATAAAGAAAAAAATTCAGATTGTTTTTACAAAATTGGAAGAACAAAAAACATAAAGTATCATTTAGAACAATGGCAAAAGAAGTACAACTACAAAGTGGAATTAGTAAAAGCTCTACCCGAAAGCAAAAAATGTAAATATACTCATTGCATGGAAAGACTAATATATTTAGAATTAGAAGTATGCCGAGTAGATTTATTGTGTGAATGCTATAAACAAAAATATAATAAATAGTTTAAATCAAAAAAAAAGGTGGTATGTTCAGTAGCGAAGAAATGGGTGTATTTCATAAAAAAGGCTTATTAATCAAATCCGTAAGCCTTCTCTATAAAATATACCCATTTCTCTGCTACTGAATATACAGCTATTATTATAATTCCTGAACACCTGATAATGATTGTTCAGCCGATTCGGTTAAGTTATAGATTTCAGAAATAATAAGATTTAGTAATAAATATATTAGATACATAATTTAATAAGATAATATATTATAATAAGACTAAATATCGACATGCACTTGTAAGTCATAAATTTCAATTCCTATTCTTTGGCACAAACCATTTTCGCTTAATTGAATCCATTATTCATTTCTAATATTTCGACGAAAATTCGGGTTTAAAAAATTGTGTAAAATTTCAATTCCTATTCTTTAGCAAGATCCATTTTCATTCAAACGAAGTCTTTATTCATTTCTTGTTGAAGACGAAAAATTAGTTTTTAAAAAAATTGTGTAAAATTTCAACTCACATTCTTTGCAAGATCCATTTTCGTTCAAACAAAGTTTTTATTTATTTCTAATTATTTTCAATAAAAATTTATTTTTAAAAAATTTTGCAAAATTTCAATTCTGATTCTTTGGCAAAATCCATTTTTGTTTATGATAAACGAAGTCTTAGTAGAGCGAAGTTAGGAGTTCTGGGTCACTTTTTCCACACCTTTATTATCAAATTGCGTTTTTCAAGCTATTCCTGCTATATTTTATATCATTTTTATATACTTTAGCTTGGTGTAAATTTTCACATAGATAGAGATGTGGTGACTTAGTGAAGTGGTCTAGTTGTCACCAAACATTATAGGAAGATCCCATGTTCAAATCCCAGGGACGGCGCTTTTGTAATATGGGAAAAGTTTGCAACGATCTTCACTAAGGTTGGCCCATGGAGGATCTGTCGAGACGGTGTTTGGTGGCACCGTTGAGATGATTCCGGAAGGCTGTAATCTGTGGGCTGTGCATAGCACAGGTTACAGGACCAGAGATCGAAGCCCATTTGGGAAGTCCCGAGTTGGGAGATAGCAGTGATCTTTGACGGTACTACATGAAGGCTGAATTTGAACCGGGGCCCG